AAAAATGTAAGTGAGACTCTGTCAAGTCAGAACTATGCAATCACTTATGACAACGCTGGACCAAGCATGGTTGTCAATGGTTGTGGTTGTCAATGGTTGTGTTGAAGTCATGCTAAATCAGTTTGAAAAGATTCCCTGCTGTGCACTGGTCTCGGAATCTTGCAATACGTCCGTGCTTGATCTCCACTGCTCGACGACGTTTGAAGGTTGCTTCATCTTTGTCAGCACTTAAGCCCAAGGGGTCCCAGAAGCCAATCGGATCCTGGACCCCAAGCTGCTTCGCAGGATCAAAGCTTGTGGTAGTGGATGAGCCTCCGAAGAAATTCCTCCGGTCTCAGAATCTCTCAGAAAGCAAGTTGATCACATGTTCACTTCAAAACCAGGATGTGTGCTTCACAAATCGCTTCCTCGTCAGCTTGGTTGCCTTGCCCTTTCGTGCAACAGCCTTTGTGACCAACAAAGTCTGTGACTGCCACCAAAGAGAACAAACACACCCAGTGTTGTCTGCTCAAAGGGCGACGCAAAAATGCCTTGAAAGGTGATTTGTCCTTGGAAGCCAAGACACTAGGGACAGAATGGCGGTGGATCCTGCAGCGAGGCCCACAGTGGAGGAATTGCTTGGCGGAGCCTTTCAGCGTGGAACATGGGTTGGATCTAATGCAAGTTCTCATTTCCTTGCAAAAATATCACAAATTCCATCTACCAAACCTGCGCAGCATTGCTTTGAGGCCTAGCATTGCCAAGGGAATTTCAACCCATGTTTGGTGTTGCTCAATTTTCCAGAATTTACCTTCCAAATGCATTCTCTTTTCGGTACTGTTGAAAACGGAGCTGGAGGGACTGAGAGGTGCGAGGCACCCCACTGACTTTGCCTGCAATTGCAAATGTTAAAATGCCATCAAGCAACGTGTTGAATTTGCATCTGTTATTTGTACGAATAAATTTGCCCTTCAACTTTCGTGTAAGATTTATACAATTGCGAATCATCCTATGCTCTTCTTTGCTGTGTTTCAGACTTGAAGCACCTGGAGCGAGGAACACAGGGGCAAGTCCAAGTGCTGCAAATCCTAGCACTTTCGGAGCCATGCCTCACCGATACGAACAACAAACCCAAGCCAAGCAAACGAATCGCTGTCACAGTTCGTATGCCGGAAACAAAAATTCAAACGAGCCCCAGAAGATAAGTTTCAACAAACACTAGGAACCCAGTGAGCAATGCGTGGTAACCTACCAGCTCTTAGCGGCCCACCCCCCATACAAAAAGAGAGCGGGATGCTGTGAGCGTGCAGTTTTGTTTTGTTTCTCAGATGTCTCTACTTCGTTGTAGTGATATATAATTGTTTTATTGTATCTCTTTCAATTTTGCCATTGATGTGTTTTGGTTAATGTTGAAATCAATCCAAAGGGATCAATATGACAATATACCTCATTAATATTGTGATATCATACGCTTGAAGTAAGTGCACCACACTCAATATATTCCGCTCAACTTGAAAAAAGAACATCTAACACTCTACTTTAAATAGGACTGTGCAGAAAATGGCGGTCCTAGTTTCGTGCCGAAAAAGGGCTGTGGTGTACATGTACCGTTTGTACGTATGAGTCAGCACGCCCCTTCAAGCTGTACAGGGGATGCGCTGCTTTTCACACTTCCATCGTTCGAGCAACTCCTGCACAAGCGGAAAATCTGGTAGACTCTGGATCTCTGTCCCACTCTAGGACAACTGGTGTCCACATGGAAGACCTCACGGCAGTTCAAACAAAAACACCTTTGGACACTTTTTTGCCGTCCATTCTGCCTGGATGGCTTTGTCTTCAATCTTGACCGTCTTGCCGATCTTCACGCTCAAGCCCCCATTGATCATCGGAAAGAGCCACAGGAAGACCATCAGCATCACTGCCTGGATAATCAGCACCCAGTGAAAGGCTAAAACCAGGTCAGTGAAGATCCAGCTGCTGAAGCTGCCATGCTCCTCGCTGAACTGCCCAGCCGCTGTCACTGCATTGATGCCAGGCTTCGGTGGATCACGCGCCTCTTCTTTGTTAGCAATCTTGAGCATCTGCCTCAACTTGCGGAACCTCTGGATGATCAGGGCCTTCTTGTCATTGCCTGGCACTGTGTGTAGTGAGTGTTTCCGCTGCAAGCCCCTTGAACCCACAAGCTCATTTCTCTCTTCGCTCAAGCCAGGTGCCAACATACCCTTTTGTAGGCCGAGCAATTGGACATAGCCTCAAGCAACAAAGATCCACCAGTCCTCCCCATGACCAGCTGCCGGCTTGGGAGCTTGTAGAACTTGTCCAGCTGTAGGAGACTCAAAGGTGGGCCGATCCCACACCTCACATTTCAGACAATTTACAGGCGCCCCCCGCCGCGGCCCCGAAGTCACAGGAGCAGGAGCCCTGCGGGCTCCGCTACCATGCAGAAAACGGCACTCCTGTTTTCACTCCGAAAAAGGGCTGTGGTGTACATGTACCGTTTGCGCGTATCTGTAAATAGTGCATACGCATTAAGTAAACAGAAGTGTTTCTAACATTGTCAATGTTGATAAATTTTGTTGGTATCAGAAAGAATATAACAAAAAGGGCTTTAATATAAATGCAACGAATGATAACCCATAACTGCTTAAAGAAATTTCTTTTTCTTCAAAAAAGGTACAACAGATATTGAAATTACAAACATATGTATCAGCTTAAAAGGGTTTTAGTGGTGCTACTAAAGTAGGCTCATACATACAAGAAAATCTCGGTAGTAAAACAGGAAAGCTTATATAGAAAGTATAAACGCAAAAGTTCAAGATAAGTCAAGAAAGTCTAAATAAGTTGGAAAAATCAAACGGTGACTCAATAAACGTGAATGCAGAGGATTGAATGAGGGAACAAGAGATCTTGAATAAAAAACAAACTTTACGAGATACGCTGCAAGCCTTGTACGAGAATATTGTTCAGACCGCGCAGGTGAAAAGAATCCTGCTAATGAAAAAACTTGTCAAAAATGTTACCCGCGTGGAACATATACACGTGAAGAACGCAACGCCACAGGCGCGCTATTGTCCCGGCCCCACCCTACCCCCCACCCCCACCCCACGTCAACCCGCGCCTGGTGCATTTGTCTTGTTCACTATGTGGCACCCGCCAGCTAAAACTTATACGCCAAACTAAAAGCACAAAATAGTAAAAAACAACACTGAAGAATATTCAGTGTCTTTACCAAATGCAAATACTTTGTTGGTTCTCCAAAAGAAAACGCTGTTCGATGAAGGAAAAAGAGATGCTACACGAGAAACAAGACAAGGAACCAACGGTTTGAATCTCCTTCAGTGCTTGGGATACAAGATTTAAAACAAGAATGAAAATAGCAGTATCAACTATAATGCATCATAAAGCTACAACGAAATGAGCCCTTCTTTCTTGAACTAAAAACATAATTAGTATAAAGAAAAATTTATTGATGATGAACTGCAAAAAAAATTGACTCGACAATACATTGCTCAAATCCCTGCGACAGCAAGAGACCCCAACAGTGTGTCTACAGGTCTAAGGTCTAGCGGTGTAGAAGCAGAAGGTCTAGAGATCTAGACGCATTCGGCCCCAGAATGAGGTGATAGTGGTGATGAGGCGGAGATCGTGGTGATGGCAGTGGTGATGCAGCGGCGATGAAGGTGATGATGGAGGTGATGATGGTGGTGGTGATGTGGCGCTGGCGGTGATGAGGTGCTGATGGTCGTGATGGTGATGGTGGTGATGGTGATGGTGGTGATGGTGGTGAAGGCGGTGGTGATGGTGATGGCGGTGATGGTGGCGCTGGTGATGGTGTTGATGGTCCGGTGGTGATGATGGCGGTGATGTTGGTGGTGATGGTGGTCATGGCGGTGTTGGTGATGGTGGTGAAGGCGGTGGTGATGGCGGTGGTGATGGCGGTGATGGTGTTGATGGTGATGGTGATGATGTTCATGGTGGTTATGATGGTTGCGATGATGGTGGCGATGGTGGCTAAGGTGATGATGGTGGTGATGATCACGTGGTAGTGATGATGGTGGTGTGGAGGGGATGGAGATCCACAAACCAGTGCAGGCCTAGAATCTAGGCGCCGGTTTCTAGAGGTCTAGAGATGGAGAGAGATGTCTGAGCACACATAAGGTCCACAAAGTGATGCGCCTGCCACGAAATCTACACTGCAAGTGCGCCTGCCACGAAATCTGCACTTCAAGGTCCACAAGGTACAGCACCTCCCACAAACTCTGCACTTCAAGGTCCACAAAGCACCGTGCCTGCCACGAAATCCGCACATCAAGATTCACATCCCGCAGCTAGGCGATTCGCCTTCCAAAAACAACACATCAAGAAAGCTACAAGATGTCCAAAAGTCACGATTCACTGCACCTCCATCAGACACCCGTCCTTAACTCTTACCCTGATACTAGATATAACCTATTTTCTGTTGACACGTTAAGCAAATATGCAATCATGGACCCTACAAAGGAAAGAGACCTCCAGATGTTGTTTTTCGTTGTTTGAACATGAACTAGCTTTTATACATTAAGGATTTAGAGGTGGTTTGAGAATCTTCAAAGTTAACACAAGCTTTTATGAGTGCTAAAAAGCATGGCTATTCCCTTTGCATCTGCTGCCCTGTGTGACATGGTCACCAAAAAGAAAAGTCCATGTCTCAGGATCTGCCCCTCAGACATTGACTTGTTGCTTCTTGTTCTTGGTGGTGACTATGTCACACAGACAGCAAATGCAACGGGAATCGCCATGCTGAAGCCTTCTTAGCACAAGCAAGTAACAACCAAAACTAACATTAAGACAATAATAAGATAGTAATACGTAGAATAATACAGGATAGTAATATAGTATAAATTACGTAGAAAATGCATAAAACGCTCACGCTGAGGGCGTCCTGTTCTGGAATTAAAAGGAAAAAGAAAATACTCAAAACGCAAATCTTCGCAAACACTTGAGTTTGCTGCCACTCTCTGGAGCCAAACTCAAGCCGAGTCTAGTCTGAGCCAAAACCTTTCGCTGACAGAGTTGTGCCACGAACATCCAAGCTTTCCGAACATATGTCGAAGCTTGCAGCTCGCAACAGCAAACATTGTTCCGCTTGAGAGTTTTACTATGCCAAGTTTGACTTTGCCAAGTCTGAAGTCCTTCACTGAAAATTTCATCAGCAGAAAGGTGAAGGGGCATTGCCACTACCGCAAGCATATGGAGACCAATAGTGAGATTCTGTTGAAAGCACGCGCGGCTCAATGATGAAGCACCACCACGCAAAGACCTTCAAGCCAAGGCACTCCTCAACCATCGTTTACTGTTGCCAAGTCAGTAGCAAGCACTGTCTCGTTTTGCAATTTGTACAATACCCCTGCAACTGGGTGAAAAAGTCAGACAGATTACAGATATGTATATGCATACCTACGAGCCACATCATCGCTATGCATGTCCAGTTGATTAGAAGCCCAGCAAGAAAGGCTCTCAACCTGCAAAATGAAGTATCTACCACAAAGAATCAGGAACCTGTTCAAGCAGAAAAGTTGTCACCAAAAGTGCGAATCAATACCTGTTCAAGAACAAGCCTACAAAAATGCATGCGTACAGTAGCAAAGAAGCTATCACCGACCGGTTGTGAATGCCAAGAGATGCCAAGAGTGTAATTGACATCCTCCACAATTGTCCTCATGGAGATGGAGCTTGCGACCTATGAAGAAAAATGCCTATGTGTGTGTGTGTGTGTCTGTGTTCCAGTCTTTCTCAGACGAGTTGTGCTGGCATCTCTCTGATCCTCTCTGTACAGTGCTGTTTGGGGTGTGCTCGAGGGGACGATCTTTTGCAGCCCATCTCCTGTTGTGTTGTCCAAGATGCTTAGGGGGGCGCAAGTGTAGATTTGAGAATGCAAAGCAGTTTCAAAACAGTTACCTTCGGCCCGGTGAAAAACTGAACTTCAGGTGCTGGGAGGCTAGCCGGGTAAAGCTGAATCAAAGCCCCAAACCAAGCCCAGGGCTGAGCTTAAATAAAGACGAGAGCAGGTCTGGGTCCGTACACAGAAATAAACTTCAGAGTATCAGGGTGTTAGAAAGCTAGAACACTGACGCTTCCACGTGGCCTGTGCTTTACATGTACACATACCATCAAGTACCATCAATTCATCCATAACTAGCTGGTGGGTGTGTGATGTATCCAATGTGCACTTCCCTTAATGTGGAAAGGAGTCCAAAAATGGCGTCAAACCTCAAACACCTCACATATCAAAATACTTCACTGTGCATCAACATACGGAGCAAGGCTTGGAGGCGGAAATACCACCGCCAACACTCCCGAGGCCATCACCCAAACGGCTGTTGTTCTCGGTTTTCTGCTCCAAGAACACTTGCCCGTTCAACTATGATTTTCAATGTTGTGTGACTTAGGGAGGGCCGAGTTGCAGCTCAGTCGTCGTCATCGTCCTCATCCTCGTCTTCTTCATCTTCATCGTAGAGGCCACTGATCGTTCCATCTGGGGTCTGCCAAGGCTCAAACAAGCACCTTCGGCACTTCGGCAAGGGAGTTTGCAATTGCACGCGGCAAGTGCTATCAGAGGGCTCCAAGGAAAGCACCCGAACCCAGCGCCGCACAAGCCCCACACTGCCGATAGAATGGGCCTTGGACAGTGCGAATAGAGTATGAGTAACGCTGCAGCAAGTTAGAAAGGCAAGGTAGAACCCCTTCGAAAAAATGTTTTCAGAACCCTTACCTTCCTTTCCTAATCCAGCTTTGCTTCTCTACATACTGCAATATGCAAATCCGCCCGCACCGAAGGTGCTCAGGGCGTGATCATCCGGATGGCATAAACAACTGTACGGTACTTTTTTGGTGAAAGTAATGGGTTTTTGCTAGGTCACGACGGCAGACTTCAAAAAACTGTGTCTTTTACAGCACGGAATGGACTAGTGCACGCGCCCGCCCGGAACCGGCAAGAGAAAAGTGTGTGTGCTTTTGTTTTTTAAACTGTTGGTCTTGAGATGCGTTTTTTCATGTGCCTTGTCGGGAGGCCGGGGTGCCAGATTTTGTGATTTCGGAGCTGCTTGGGTGACGGCCTTCGCCGTTTTTTGTTGGGCAGAAACATTGGTTTTTGCAGTGCTTTTGTACATTGCCGAGGATTGACGTCTTTGCGCGAAAATGTAAAAATCCTTGCAAGTAGCAGTGCTTTTGGCGACCATGTCGTTGAAAACGTCGCAAACTGCGGTGCTTTTGGACAGCAGGTTCAAAAACACGGTCAATGGCGGTGCTTTGGGCCACGGCAAGCTCAAAAACATCGCTAGTTGCAGTGGCTTCTCCCTCACCGAGCATAAAACCACTGTAAAATACGGTACATAGTGGGGTTTTCGGCAACGTCAACCTCAAAAATCTCTCTATTTCTAGTGGCTTTTGCTTTCCGGTGTATGAAAACACTGCCAATAACGGTGTTTCGGCAGATGCTGCTGGGAGCGGGAGCTGAACACAACAATCTGTTTGGATCCACACTTACTAAGTGGCAACATGATGAACCCTTGTGATATATGGTGATGAATGAAGATAGCGCATACTTCTGGCATGTTACCTTCTACGATCGTTGTTGCGTCATGCCATCACTCATCCGACTCGCTATTGACTTGTAGGGCTTTTCTGATTTCGAGGCTGTGTGGGTGACAGTTTTCGCCCTTATTGTTGCGCAACTGTTTCATGGCGGTGCGGGCGGGCCTTGCCGAGGAGCGGCGTGAATATCCTCAAGGCCCGTGGGGCCAAGGGAAAGGCGCGCGCTGGGAAGCGCAACACGCGACAGACTGGAGACTTACGGACTGGCGGAAAACCACTGAGAGATACAGTAAGCAAACAAACAAGCAAACAAACAATCAAACGTCGGTCTCAATATTATACCTCTGTGTCTGGCATTGCATGCGAAAATGAAGTGTTCACTGGCGTTTGTAATATATATTCAATGCATCGTAGGGTGTGCGAGGTTGATACCAAACAAAACAACTTGGTGTTACACGATTTATCAAGGGATGGTACGTGCGTTTCAATCGACAAAACAAACCAAACGAAGAGCCCTCTCAGGTTGATGCCCTCCTCCCAGGTAGCCTGAGGAAGAATAGCATATTCAATGAAGCAGCACAAAGCACCTGTGAAATCCTGTGAATACATATATATATATATACGCATGACATGTTTGATGATACAGTTGCATTCCGCCGCATGCTGTGCGACTCAGCACTCCGCCGATTAAGGTCATCATGACGCCACCCATCAGAATGTACTTCGGGAAGGGTCGCTGGCACAGGACTCCATTTTGCAAAACATCCAAAACAAAATCGAGATACAAACTGTGCAAAGCAATGCAATATAAAGCAAAATATAATGACAGCAGACGCATGCCGCTGCACCTTCCAGTTTGGGTCAAAGCCCTTCTTCTTGGGTTTTCTGAAATTGAAAAGCACTTCCTAGGAGAAGTCACTGCGGCCATGAATGTACAATGTACAAACTGAGAGCAGCATGGCATTGAAGCTCGGCGTCCTCCTCATCAACTTCTCTTGCATACCTGCTCACCGATTGGCCTCCAAAACACATATATATATATATATTGCTACAATGGAAGTGTGCAAGTGCAAAACGGGTGGATATGTTCCATTATGGCCTCTCTGCGCAGGATTAGCCTCCATAGGGTGCTCAAACAGGAATACAAAAGTGCAAAGGTCATTTCGCAGCTTTGCTTCTGAGTCTCTGACCGGCGGAGCCAGCGACGTTGAAAATGGTCCAACAAAGAGCCAGTTCTGGCCAAGGACCTGAAGCAGCAAAAAGGACGTGGAAGACTGGCGCAACTGGTGGGCATATTTGGAAATGGGTCGCCAACTGAATCAGAAGCCAAGCACGCGCCAAGAAGCTTTTGTTAGACATGTTAACCCTTAAAAGCCAAGTGTTTCCAAACTGGATCCCTTCCGCTTCACTCTTCTGACTGGCACACCCATGTTGCTGCCGCGGCAAACAAAACTGCCTGGGTGGAATGTGTAAGTCTTCTAAGTACAATGCACTTACAATCAATAAACTTAAAAGGACTGTAACCTTTTTGGCACAACTGGAAGCCCGGCTGCACGTGCCAGCCAGGAACTCCGCCGAAGCTTCATCCTGGGGTCAAATGAAAACCCATCCAAGGAAGGAAAAAGAAAAAAATCATTCCCCAAGGTGCTCCTTCGCTCCTTCCCAGCCTCCAACTTGGCAACTCAAGAGACTGAGCCCAAAAGTTAGCAGTCCAAAAAAAGGGCCGGAGAAGAAGCATGAGTTTACAAGTTGCAACAAATGCCGAAACGAAAGGTGTCTGTCAAAGCGCCAGCTGCAAGACCTGAACTCTTTTTCCTGAGATGGCATCAGTGCACTTCAGGGCACTACTTCGATATCAGAGGGAATTCAAGGTCTTAAACCAAGCTCCATCACCTTGGAATGACATGAGCAAACCCAAAACAAGTCAAGTGTATATATACAAATAAGGGCATTCATTGGACAGGCAGAGGCAATTGGGCGTTCTCATGGTTTGAAACTATATGCGTATATGTATGTGTTAACATATATACAGTGTATATATACAGTATATACATTACACCAGCATTGACCCCAAACAGCAATTGTTCAGTTGCTTTGCTTTCAGCAGCCATGGCAGCCATCGCATACACAAGCAGAAACACAATGTTGCAATTCCAAAACCATAATTATGCCTTTTCAATAGCATGCCCTCGGACATTTTCCGAGCTGCATCTGCTGCGAGTGTCAACTTCCAAACTTCAAAAACATGAGGTTGCATGTCAGAAGGCATGTGTATGCCTTCTCGAAAACATATGTTCTATATTTTCAAGAATGCACCTGTGCCACACGTTGATCAATACAACCATATGTGTTCACAAACATGACCGTGCACTTCCAATGTCACAACTTTGTTTTGTCAGGCATACCATTGTGCGTCTAGTGTGTGGTGTAGTTCAACAATACAAGCATGCGTTCTAGTATGACGTGGTGCGTTCAAAGACGCAACTCTACATTCTCCAAAGAAACGCACCTGTGCATTGCGAGGAAGTACACCTGGGATGTTCGCGGGCATAAACCTGTCCTGTCCTTTTAAAAGCTGTTGTGTTCTCAGAAAATCATCTGTGATACAAATGTCCCGCTTTCAGACACATGACATGAATTTCCGAAGTCTAACTCTGTCTTGTCAAAACCATGCCCACATGTGTTGACATGCACAGCGTGTGCTTTGAGAAAAATGACGTTGCATTTCCGAAGTCAAGCTCGGCCTTTCCGAAAGCATTCACACAAGCATCTGTGCATTTCGAGAAATACGAGCGCACGATTTGAGAAACATGCCGTTGCATGTGTGAGAAAGGAGATGAGGACCATTGAAGGTTCACCGAGCAAATCATATCATGATCATCTGATCATGGCATACTGAGAAGACTTCAGGGAATTGGAATCCGATCCACAGGATGCCATTGTGAGACAAGCGCCGACATCGTGACAGGTTGCCAGTGGAGCAACAAGAATGGAGACAAGCGGGGAGACAAAGGATCGCGGGGCAACTCTCTTGCCCTACGCGTCGGAGAGCTTTGCCTAAGTATAAGATATGATATTGTCAAGCGGGGCACTAAGTTTCAAGGCTTCTGAGCAAACGACTGCGATGCAAGATGGCAAGGTCACTCCAGCCGATGAATGTCAACATGTTTCACAGCAAGCGGCCGTCCTTTACTTAACAGAATCCTGTGCGTTGAAAGGAACAACAAATGCCGGTATGTATTTACAGAAATACCTCCACGACATCTGAAACGTACTCGTATTGTTTGAAGAACAGGGCCATGTATTTACACACGCATACTCAGTGTTTGGTCAAAAAGCCTACATGCATTTACAGAAAGCCCCATGTGTGATTCGGAACAAACTTGTTTTTGCTCGGAGAAACACGACCGTGTATTACCACTAACATATTCAGCGCTAGCCCAAAAAGCCTCCTATGTATATACAGAAATACCCTACAGAAATACTGCGGTGTAATTCGACAGTATATCTGGTATTACAAAATTACCTTCCTGCAACTTGAACCATACTCGCATATGTTTTGAAGAAAACAACCGTGTATTTCCACGTATCACCCAAAAAAATACTTGTAAGTTCAAAGCATAAATGTATATACTTGTTTTTGTTTTGAGGAAAGCGAGCTTGTATCTTCACAGCCAAAAACTAGCGTTTCACAAAAATGCCGCTATTTATTTACAGAAATGCGGAACTTCAGCATTGCCGTGTGCGTTTTGAAAAGCAGGACCTTGCATTGACACAGGGCCATACTTGGTGTTTCGGCTCAATTCCCTTCTATATAGAGCAATAAATCCTGGTGCCCTAAAAATCATAAAACATGTTCGTGTATGCTTTGAGAAATATGACCTTGCACTTTTTCACAGCCAGAAGTAATGTTTCGCCGCAGGACTCCCTTGTTGAAGGCTTGTGTGGATGGAGCATCTGCTTTAAAGTTTCCTCTTACCTTCAGATCGTGCGTTACCCATTGCCAATCCATGCTGGACAGCTTGAGGTTCAAACACAATATGTTTGCAGAAGCAAGAACATGGAGTCGATTGTCTAATGATGATGCGCTTCAGCTTTTCATGTGGAACTGGAGGCACCTTTTTCTTTGTGGGCAAAACCTGAGGCAAGACCGTTTGCTGCTGGTGGCCAATACGCTCATCTAGACCTTCGGTTCAATGCCCTTGTATGATGAGAAGACTCGCACAATGAAGCCTCTGTTTCCAATCGTGATCAGGGGCTACCGTTCTCATGTAGGTGTCGCCTAGTTTCGTTATCTGCTTATTGTGGTCTTTTGGAGTTGTGTGTTGTCGTTGTCGTTGCACGTTTCCTTTTCGGCCGTTGGGCTGATTGCTATAATCCCTGGGGAGCATGTCGTGTTGGTGAGGCTGCGCATCCTGGACCGTTTCCAGAGGACATTCCATTCCAAACACAGCAAGAAATCGTGCAGAGAATCAAGTCTTTTAGAACTCAGATCTTGGTGTGTCCGTGCATGAGACAACCGACAAGTTTTTGGTTGGAAATTCATCGGGTCTTTGAAGGCCTTGGGTTCGGTGGCAGATGCAAGTGCAAGATTGTTGACCCACCAGGTCAGTTTCCAGGAGCATTCCTTTCTGATAGAGTTGTCTATCCTGCGTGCGACCATCACAGACTTAAGGAAGGTTTTCTGATCGTTTCCAGAGCAACTTGGGAGGTAATCAATGATGAGACATCCGTCTCAGTACTCCATGCAACTCATCAGGTGAGCATGTGACAGGGACTACATGCTTTGCCTTTTTCGAGAGGATCCTTTGGACGACAGTCAAGCTAGTCTGGTGAAGGTTCCAATCAGATTGGGGCATGGATTGAGTGGGGGTTCCCGATGACCATTGTGGAGTGTCGATGCAAAGGAGCAAACAAATTCGTTTTGCTTTTAGAAACTCCTCGGAGCAAGGACGCTACTAGGGGCTCCTAACATCGCTACTAGTAACAAGAAGCTACTAGGCACTCCTGGCCTTACTACTAGGAGCAAGAAGCTCATGAACCAAGATTTCCAGCCTCCAGTGACTGGGAATGGTGGACGCCTAGTGGGGAGGACAACGACATCTTGATTGATGCAGACGAAGACTTTGCTTTCCATGATGTATCAGTGACTCAGGGACAGATGAGAGCCTTTCGTTTGGGCCTATCTATCTTTGTTTGGGGTGGCTATGGAACAATTTGGAAGACAGGCGGCTGTGGTTTCGCTCTGTCTTGTTTGTGTGGTGTTGGACACTCGGTGATGCGAGATGCCACATCGTGATTGGGAAGCTTGCAAGGAGCCATCCTCATTGTCAGGTAGTGGGTCTAGTAGGATCCTGCCTTGTGCCAAGCCTGTTGCAAGTGCATAGAACAAGCTAGAGTGCCACCGTATGCCTTCCCGGCTGGGGCCTAGTGTCCTTTCCGTAGGGCTAGTCAACGAGACCCTAGTTCCTACCTGGCTGCTATTGTTTGCACACACAAACATGATTACCATGCAACTTTGGCTCAAAGGAAAGAAAAGTGTGCGGAGAGTTGCATAGCGCCACCCTACACATGCAGTGCCAATGGCAGAAGAACAATTATCTCGACCGAGCACACCCTCTGAGGGTGAAGACTCCATGACCTGTCAGCTTACGCTGATCACACTTGAAAGAGATCTTCATGTCCACTACTGTCTCACAGCATGACCAACTTGCCGAGCTGGAGGATGACATTGTGGACTTGACTTTGAGCTGATGTCACCTCCAGCCAGCCTGGAATTAATTTTGAGCTGCGTTGGATGTATTCTTTGTGTGAGAGGAATCTTGGTTTTGCTGCGACGGTTTGATTTGGCTATGGAGTTGGCTGCATTCATGACAAGCAAAGGACAACCGATGACTACCTTTGCCCCAGATCAAACAATCCCAGGTGGTGACACGGATTGCCCACTGATTGATCGAGCCACGGCTCTCTCAGACGCGCTGATTGATCTCCCACTGATCGATTTTAACTTTTCCCTGACGCATTGGGATATGACTTGCCCACCCTAGAGCCAGCGTTCATGGTCCGTTGAAAATCTGTGGGGCTATACGGACAATCCATGGGCTTTCCGTGATCTTTGGCCAGAACTTTGCTAACACCCAGCGCTGCGCCAACCAGGATTAGCACCTGCTGCGGCCATTCGGTTTCACCCGCGTGCTCGTGGGGAGCTGATGTTGGCTTCCGTGCTTTGCATTTTTCCAATATTTCAGATGGTGGCATCCAACGAACAAGACATTTTGTCTACCAAAGGAGCTGATAAGGTGCAATTGCAGCCCCCACATAAACCGCCATTGAAAGTTTAAGCTGATGGACTTCGCCAAATTGCGCGGTATCTTTCCAAATATGCACCTGGCAATCTGTTTCGGACTTATTCCAAAACAAGCTCTACAAGCTTCGGTTCATCTATACATATATATGTTGGAGGATGGCCACATCGTCCTTGTTATCATAAAGCTAATGAGGTTGCATCGCTCTTGCAATCATATCGTGATTTGCCGGGCCAAACATACCCGGTTTGCCTTCCCTGTCTTGGATCCGTCGTCACCTCCGGAGTTTTCCGGTGCTCTTCCAGACTTGATCATAGATTTTGATTTTACTATACGCCTGTGCATGGCCTACTCGCATAATCAAAATAAAATGATCCGAACGCGAGACAAAAGTCATTTCTTGCACAAGTGCATCAGAAATTTGCCTTGTCGTGATGCCTTAAACACCGATCAGGTCTCTAATTAGTTTTGTTTCAAGGGCAACCGCTTCATGGTTTGGTTTGTACTTCTGGAGTTTCTATCCAACACGCTCTGCATATCCGTTCCTAATAAGGGAACAAGGGGCAGTTGAATGGCGTGACAGGTGGTGCTTGACGGATTCTCTGGCGCTGCACGGCCTCACAATAAGTGCGATTCCGTTCAAGGGCGGGTACCTCAAGGTCTTTGGCATTGACCTCCGTTTTGATCCCCCTTGTTCTGATGTGTGGCACGTCTTCACTGACGGAAGTGGCATTCATCAAGACAACCTGGAGCTGGCGTTAGCTTCATGGGCGGCTGTCCTTGCTTTTAGGATTCAGTTGTGTGCAGCTGGGGGTCTTGCGAGTAGAGCGCGGTTCCACGTGCTGAGATCCATGGAGTCTTGGCAGCGGTGCAATGGCCCAGTTTTGGGGTTGCCTACCTGTGGGTTGACTGCTAGCATGTGGTGGAATCTTTTGGTTGCCTTCAGGCGCCAAACGTTGTGTGTTTGCTTTTTGCTTCTTGCGCTTGTCAGTGATCCTTTGTTGGCCCTGTCAAGATTTACTTCCCTTCCTCTCGCAAGCGCCAGCGTCAGCAGCGGCTCATTCAGAGCAAACGCAAGGAAGAAATGAAAAAGAACGGACTTGCTTTGTCAAATTCTAATGGTCTCTGGCTTTTTCATACTCCAATAATGATGAAGTCCTTCTGAGCTTTTGTTTACACTATTCCTGTATCCCTCTTATTCCTGCATCCCTCTTTTCCACCCACCATGATGAATACGATCCTGGCTGGGGTCTTGCCTTCATACAACTTGATCACATAATTGCAGCAAGCACAAAGCCTAAAGCCTCTTCCCAAGCAGACCCATGAATAAGGGACAAAACGTCAAACGCTCAATGCATCATAGCATAGCACATCTTTGCTCATTTCACCCTAGGTGGCCCAGTTCCACTCATGAGTTACAAAATCTGGGCAAGCTGTCCAGGGTCTTCTAGGTGTTCTTCTTGCATCGTTCTGGCTTTTTCGTTGGATCCCTGTCTCTTGAGCCGCCAACCTGTGGCGGTGTCCGAATTGTTGGTGTACCGCGCCATGAACACCTGGAACATTACAGTGCTGTTGCTGAAAGTCCCAAAGCCAGAAGCAATTCTTTTTGTGCAGAAAGGCCATGTCTAAGGCCCAAGGCAATCAAGATTGAGGCATAAACAGTGACCTGGAAGAGCATTTGTCCAGTGCTCCCAGGGACTCCAGGCTGTTTGAGCCACGGGCCATTGCCAAGTAGTAGACAAACCAAATGGCACTCAATCCTCGAACGAATGGGGCATCATTCGGTATGATGGCAACACATGCTCGAATCCAAAATGCAGGCCTCCTCCTACTGAATTGCCGCAAACGCGCATGACCTTCAGTTGTGAAATAATCCAGCTTGCATCAACAATCCCTCGTCACGATCAACTAGTGCAAGCCGTGGCACCTTCAGGTCCTTCGGAAGACTGAAGATAAAGCCGTTGACGAAGCACTACAGAATCAGGCAATCAAAAAGACTTTGTATTCGGAAAAGCTTGGTACTTTCTATTTGCAATATGGCTGCGTACGCTCAAAGGTACGGTTGAATACTGGTGTGACCTCAATTAAGCAATGCGCCATAATGAGCTGCATCAGCAAAGCCCATGTTGCCACAAACATATAGTCCTGCGGAGCAGAGCAGAGACATCGTTTATAGGTCAGGGAGCGGAAGCCTGGAAGCCTCTGGAAGTCTTGTCTGTCCTGAGCGTACCCCTGAGGTACTCCTCTCCTGAGGGACTTTTGCCCATGGCCACTTTGAGCTCTGCGAAATATCTTCCAAATGCATCTCGGTTTCGCTACATGAACTGGGCGCCCTGCATGCCCTCCTTTGTTTTCACATCGAGTGCTGCTACCTCAGCGTCCGACTGAAGCGGAAGGACAAGCAACGGAGAGAGCTTTGGGTTGTTTTGAGTATGTGACCCAGCATTCAATAAACAGAACAGCCAGCATTGGGCAAATGGAAACGGCGTCCTGCACAAGTCAACTACCGCTTTGGCATTCGTGTTGCAAGGAGTGGCAGTGTCAATCGGCTCCTTTGCAGTCGTCAATGTCCTTGACCAGGACAGCTTGAATGAGCTTGACAAAAAAAAACAGTTCTAAGGCCCGTCTCCCACAGGCCTTACTAGTCCTGCTAGTTGCAAGTCTCGGACTTCAATACCCCGAAGTCGGATAAAATAGTTTTCTTGACCTCCTTTTAACCTGTTTTCTTGACCACGTATACATCAAGCAGAGCCATGTCCAGGAAGGCCAAGTTTGATTTACCCGAAGGAAGTTGTTGGCTTGACAAACGCGTGATGTGAGATGATCTGCGATGCTATCCACGGAGTGGGTCGCAAAGGTTTCCTTGCTGACCGTTAACACTTGCGTAAATGATTGCTTGCTCTGAATCTGTAACCACGCCGTGCGCTCACGCACCTACAGTAAGTCTCTGGCTACTCATTTCTGCACCTTAAACTCCATCACTTAGTTTGTTTGTGTTTCTTCTCCAAGTTCCCTTTGAGGCCGGCCTTGGATCTTGGATTAGCTACCACTACGAACAAGGACACTGAAAGGCCTTTCTCGAAGCCTTCGTGTGTCTTTCCGCAGAGTTGTTTGCTCGTTCATCAAAGAAATGAACTCAAGCGACAATGATCACACTGCAGGTGATGGTGATGCTGTAAACTTGAAATGAAAGTTTTTTCATATAATATATCATATCATGTCATATCATATATATATATGTGTTTGTTTAATGTATGTATGTATTTTTTTATCTATTTATTATACATATGTCATATGTCACTGTATATATATATATACATTGAAGAGCAGTCCTGACAGAGTCCATCAATCCGCCACTCAAGAAGGACCTGACTGCATTTTTCCAAGACCCCTGCAAACCGGCAAACTGGCACTATATCTACAGTGTCGTCTGAGCCTCAATGTGTTGCATAGCCACAAGAACAAATGAACCTTGGTCCAGGGGCTCTGTCAACTGGGCAAATGATGTGTATTGCAGTCGGGTTGCAATAAAAAAGTATGTGATAAGATGCATCACCTGGCTGTTCGCATGTTGCGTTATTCACACGATCGAATTGAATGCAGCATCACCATGAGGAATAACTCTGCCGAGATCACGAGAATGGCCCATGCAGGCTCATATTTCTGACCTGCGACGTGGCACTTGTTGTCCACAAAGATTCAGAAGAGTAGCTCAGCATCCCACCCCAAAGGTAGCTGCAAGTGACAGCGACCCCGCCATACCTCGCGTGCCCACAAAAGTTGTCCATTGGAACATCCAACACTAGTAACAAGAAGCTACTAGTAACAAGTGCATCGCTACTAGTAACAAGTGCCTCACTACTAGTAACAAGAAGCCAGAAGAAATAAGAAGCTATTATAGCCTTTTCCAAACTTGTGCCTTTCACGGAAACAGGGTCACAAAACAGCTGTGGCAATCCAACGTGCAGCGCTCATCAAGTTGAACCTGGGAATGAAATGATGCTGTCAAGATTGAAGGAAGCAACCATGCAGGGCGCCCACAGTTGCGAGTGAGCGGTTGCAAAGTCTACTACATCGGGTGTGTCCACCGTCCCGCGGACAACCTGCGCAAATCAGTGTACTGAAACACAAAGGGTAGAGTTTTCACGTAGGTAAGACCCGTAAGCAAAGCATGGCTTGCCTTCAGTTCAGCGTTGGTTATGAACGGAGTGACGATGCAAATGATTGCCTGCTTGAGGCTCTGGACCGTACCAAGCAAGCGTTGCACACTCTGACAGCTTCCTGCCTGCAGGTAAATGCCAAGGCAGCTCATGTACATTGCATTCTCGACGACACCTGTTCATGCGCGCATCAGAACCACCAGTCTGGACCATACTTGATTCTCTGCTTGAGCTCTGGCGTGGAAGCTTCTCGCTGCGGGACTCGATGGTAAGCTGCACCGCTACACAGGCAACGGCCAGCCTCAAGCTTGAAGACTTAATCGAAGACTCTTCCAATGACAAACAATTCCAGGATGATTCTCGCATGTGCTACATTGCCTATCAGGATGGATGAGATGCAGTTCAGTTTAAACTCCTTTTCTGTCCGATCTTTCTCGTCTTCATCTTCGGCATTGGCGACATTTTGATCATCCTTGAACATGGTGGGGAGCGTGGGGAGCACCACATTGATCAACTGCTTCGGCTATCGAAAGACTTCTGCCAAGTCATCTCCAGATTCGCTGCTCTCATTGGCCTTGTCCTTTGACTTCAGCTCCTGTAGTCAAAATCCACGTACTTTCTTCTCTGCAATACTTCTGTAAAATTCTCAGGTCACCCCGGCTCCTCAACTAGCGGTGCTGGTGCCAATTCGACAGGTGATCCAGCATCACTGCGAGGAGATTGTGACATTTGAACCTCCAGGTCTACATGTCCAACCCTTGCGGCTTTGAGTACACCAAATTGATTTACTGATTTACTGTTCTACACTTCCAGGTAAGACTGGCAATAAAATCATTCATACCACTTTCCGTGTACGACAGACGCTATGTTTGCTTTCTCTTGGTTTCATCTGTATTTGTCAGAATCTTTCCAGCCTTCCCTGCACTCTCCCTCCCCACCTTTTCGGCATCGGGCAGCTGAAGCTGCGCTTTGGCAGCAGACCCACCTGCGAAGCTCGCTCACAGCGCTTCCCTAAAAGGAATGTCTCCGGTAAAAAAAAGAAAGAAAAAAGACAAAACAGCTTGAGTCAGCTTGAGCTTTATAGCCTTCAATAGACTAAAGCAAAAGGCTAAGCCGCCATTTTAAGCTTGGTATAAGACCGGGCCTGTGAGAGCAAGAGTTGGAGATGGCATACCTTCGCGTGTGTCATGTCTGAGAATTTTGCCTAGACAGCAAAGTTGTTGTTGTGAGAATCGAGCCAAGTGGGCCATCCTGACCAAACCGCACTTCACTGCAGCCAACTTGCCCATGAGCTGGCAAAATGCAGCCTTTTCGGTCATATCAATGCCTTGTCGCCCGCCACATGGGACTTGTGCTGCCCCATGCAATTGCGTGAAAAAACAGCCCCAGACATCTCTTCACACATTCAAATAGGCTGTTCCAAGCGGTGCTGAGCACTTCACGCTTGGCCTCCTCTGCCAAATTGTCATCAGTGACCTGGTGGTGAAGGTAAGGTTAAGCGCACCACAATACAAACATATCTTAAGAACTTGAATTGTGTCTTCAAAGATATCACTTCGAATCCAACTCCACTCCAACAGGGACAGAGAGCCAAGTCTGTCAGAAGTTAGTTTGCAATTCTCCTGTCAAAATCTTTGTTTGCAAAAAGTTATGCTAAACTGCTAAACATTTTCCAGCCAAAGTTCCCTTGTTCAACGCAAGAGACAAAGTGATGCAAGCCTGAAGGCCCAGCTTGTGCCACTGTGTCAGAATGTCGTCTCGAATCTTGCCACAAGATCGAATGCTTTCCTTGAAGCTGGTGGAAATATAAGTACAAACGTTTTGCAAGAACTGCGGTCTGCAAAAAAATCCTGCAAAACTTTTCATACGGTACCTTCAATGAAGGCTTCTTTTCGACCGTCACTTTCCAAGGTTCAAAGTACAATCGCTGCATAGGAGCCTGGCTTGATTCCAATGAGACTTGTTGACAAGCAGCAGCAGCAGCAGCAGCAGCAGTCGCAGTCGCAGTCGCAGTCGCAGTCGCAGTCGCAGTCGCAGT